CTGGAACCAATGCCCTATGGGTAAAAGGGATGACTGTACAAGAGTCACTGCGCTCAGGGAAGCCCAATGCATCGTGCTCCTATCAGGTTGTTGTTTAGTGACTTTGAGTTGATTCCAACTTGGTGACGCCATGTAACAGAGTAGAACCACCCAACAGGGTTTGTTGATTGTAATCTTTCTGGAAGTAGATCACCAGCTCTTTCTTCCTTGGAGCCATGAACCAATTTTTTGGTTAGCAGCCAAACACTTAACTTTTGTGCCATCAGGGCTCCCCCTCTATGAGGTATTTATAGCCCACTCATGGTTCTTCTCAATCCAGATGTAATTTACCAACCAGGGATCTTTTCTGCCATAAGCACTTGCCCAGTTCCTGATCAGCCTTCAGGTTTCACCTTAACATCATCTTCAACAAGAAGCCTCCTCTGACCATCTATCTAAGCTTGTCCTTCCTCTGTTATTCTTTGCCATAGCATCATGTTTATTTCCTTCTTAGCATTTACTCTGGTAGTGTAGTGCCTAAGGCACTTAACTGCTAACCACAAGGCTGGCAGTTCAAACCCACCAGCCCCTCCTTGGAAGGAAGATTGGGCAATCTACTTCCGTAGTGATACCGCCTCAGAAACCCAAGGAGAGGTCACTATGAGTCAGGTCCGACTTGATGGCACATAACAACATAACAACAACATCAATATTTTACTTATTGTTTGCTTGTTTATTGTTTGTCTGCCTCATAGAATGAAAGGGCAGGCCATGTCTGTCTCATTTCCATAAGGTGTCTATAATAGGGCCTAGATAAAGGTATGGTACCAAACCAAAACCAAACTCACTGCTGTTGAGTCAATTTGACTCATAGAGACCCCTCCTTTAGTTTCTGAGGCAATATCACTATGGAAGTAGATTGGCGAACCTTCTTTCCAAAGAGTGACTGGTGGGTTTGAACCACCAGCCTTTTTGGTTAGGAGTCAAATGCCTTAGGCACTATGCTATCAGAGCTCCTAAAGGTATAGTAGGTCCACAATAATATGGTGATTGACTCAGCAGGGGTGGAATTCAGGTGACTTCTATGTTGTACAATGTGCAGGCCTTACCTTTATAAGAAAAAACTAATCTTCAAAAGAAAATTCTGTCTAGATACAGTGTAGAGAGTTGATAGAGTCCCAGATGGAAGCAGGGCAACAAGTTAGGGGTTTTTTGAGCTAACTCAGGCTCAAGAAGAGGGTGGCTTGGACTTAGAAACATAACTGTGGGGCAGCAGAGGGGACAAAGCCCAGAATTGTTGAGGATTGGGTGATTGGCTGGAAGTGGGGATGCAGGAAGAGGGAAGGAAGTTCCTAGGAACTGCCTAGGAGGCCTCTTCCCTTTTCTGCCTTGGGATTTTGGACCTGGCTGGTGTTGCTGGATTCATGAGTGGCTCTGGACCTCTGTTGTCATTTCAGATCCAGCAGACAGGGAGTCTAGACAAGGTTGTGTCCTGGGCCCACCAGTTCCCCTATGCCCACCCTCTCTGGTTTGGACAGTTCATTGGCTTCCTGAACATCTATGAACCTGACTATGCCAAAGCTGTGTACAGTCGTGGCGGTGAGGACACCTGGGAGAGGGTGGGCTTTCCTGAGGGCAAAGGGTATGGGGAAGAGGTTTGTGCCCTATGTCTGGGAAAGGGTGGCAAGGATTCAAACCTGCTTTATCCAGAAGCCTCCTCTGGTAACTACCCTATTGATCCAAGCTTTCTCCTGCAGACCCCAAAGCCTCAGATGTGTATGACTTCTTTCTCCAGTGGATTGGTGAGTGGGACGCACCTGCCTTCCCTGCCTTTCTCATTCCAGTCCCTTGGTGCTGGGTTGGCCAGGATCCTGCCTGCCCCTCCCCCTCTCTGCCCTCTCTGACTCAGTTATTCCCTCAACAGGACCTCCTGGCCACCATGTGCCCATCTAAGCTCTGCATAATGGAGAGACAGGGGATAGGCAAGAGAGCTCCTGGCTGGTGGGGAAGCATGGCTTAGGCCCTTTCATTGCTGGTTTCTCTCTGTCAGAGCAAGGGCTGTGGAAAATGTGTGAGTGTGAGCTTCCTGGAGGAGATGGCACTGGGCCCTCCAGGAACTTTTACTAGGTGATTCTGCCAGGGGAAGGACCTGAGAAAAAGTAAGTTTATACTGCCAAGATGGGTGTCACCAGAGGCTGTGAGGTATTAGAGTAGCTGGAAGACAGAGTGTGGTGGGGAGGTGAGACTGGGTGGGGAGATTTGGCCAGCCTTGGCTGTTAGGGTGAGGAATGTGGCTTGGTGTTGAGAATAGGTGGGAGACATTGAGTATTCTTGAGCCAGGGCCGTATGCTTCTCCAAAGCCCTCCTTTTACTCATGATCCCATGGTATCCTCAGCAGCATCTTAGGAGCTGAGCAAGGGCAGCACAATCAAGGAAAACATTCCCAGGCCTATTTATTCAACAAAACACAACTAAACAAAAACCACCCCAAGCAACAACAACAACAAAACAAACCCATTACCTTAGAGTTGATTCTGACTCATAGTGATCCTATACGTACAGTAGAACAGCCTCATAGGGTTTCCAAGCCTGTAATTTTTATGAAAACAGACTGCCACATTCTTCTCTCACAGAGCAGCTAATGGGTTTGAACCACTGACATTTTGGTTAGCAGCCAAGCACTTAATCACGGTGTCCCAGGGCTATCCAATAACACAAGGAAGTCTTCTTCTGGACTTCTGTGATTTTAACCCTCTCTTCAGTTACCACAGGGATATAGCTCAGATAGAATGAGAAGACAGGCAAGATGCTTAGAGAAATGCAGAGGTATTTTGAACATAGGAATGCATTTCCATTCCTCTGTGTGTGTGCACAGGATGTGTGTGTGTGTGTGTGTGTGTGTGTGTGTATGCAGGATAAGGTCCTGCCTAAGGCACAAAGTAGGGGCTCTGGTGGCAAAATGCCTAAGGCATTTTGACTGATAACCAGAAAGCTGGTGGTTCAAACCCACCAGCCACTCCTCAAAAGGAAGGTTGGGCAATAATATACTTCCATAGTGATACCGCCTCGGAAGCTGAAGGAGGAGTCATTATGAGTTGGATCTGACTCCACTGCATTGAGTTTGTTTTTTTGGAAGTACAAACTCCATGGATTGTTCTCTAAGACCTGAGGTTGCAACCACAGTCTCAGCAGCTGAGAGTTAAAGCCTAGCAGCACCTCTGCCTGACTTTCCCCATGGAGCTGTGTTCTATTTGTCTGAATCCAGCTTCATCTGACACAAGTGCCTGGAGCCCAGGCTTTGTTGGTACAGCCAGGAGGCAGAAGCTGAGCCTTTACCTCTCCTGTGTTCTGAGGTCTGGGAAGTCATGAACACTAGCTCTGCCCAAAGTTCCTGATTACTTGGGACTGGAGGCACAGAGGGCAATACTATGTCTCTTAGCGGCCACTCCTTAAGGGATCAGCTTGGGGTGGCATGCTAACACAGGCCACTTGCTTGGCCCCAGGCTGAAATGGGTGGGGCAGGATCGCCCAGACTGACTGCCCCTCTCTCTCCCTTGCCTTCCCCAGGGAGAGGACTGCTAGTCCTGGAGGGCCCCAAGTGGTTCCAGCACCGCAAGCTGCTCACACCTGGCTTTCATTATGATGTGCTAAAGCCCTACGTGGCTGTGTTTGCCGAGTCCACATGTGCTATGCTGGTGAGATCCCTGTGCCAGGTTCCCAGAGGGTATTGACTTCTGGGCCAGCCCTCAATGTCCCTAAGTACTGCCTTGAGGAGCTAGGGGAGACCAGGTATTTTATGGCAGAGGGGAACTTCTGAAACCTGAGGTCCTGTTCTGCTGGCATTAGAAATGTGAAACTAGTGCTCTGACAGACACATGCTACAGGCAGGAACTGACCTTGTGGTGAAGCTCCGAGTGTCCAGGTAGCCCCTGGTTCTTGTCCCCACTGTGAGACCCAGCTCTACCTCTTCCCAGACCAAAGAGGCTTTGTGAGGCTTCAATAAGGCTCTGATTGTAGAATATTTGAGGGCTGCCTATATTTGAGAGTATCAGGAAGGCCTTTCATCTCTGCAAAGTGTCTCCTTCTCATTCTCCTCCTGCCATGGTTGCCTAAAGTAATGTCATTAGCAACACATCTCCAACATAGACTTTAGGGCCTAGGGGTCAGGATCAGAATCATAGGGCTGCATACCTCTGAGGTCACCCAGGCCAGCCTTTCCCCTTGCAGGAAACTCTTCCTCAGCTTCATTGGCAGGCCTGATTCAAACCGTCTATGCTGGGGAGATCCTCACCTCTTGGCCCTCCTGATCTTGCAGGCTGCCCCTGGCTAGGAAAATGTGTCTGTGTGTGCTGTGTAAGGCCTGTCTCCTGGTCTTATCCTCTGATCCTGTCCTCCCCAAACCTCTACTTGTACCTTACATTCTAGTAGGATAGAGGACAGGATAGGGCCTGGGTGTATGTATGAGTGGGGGGCTTGGTGGGAAAATGTAGGCTGTGGATTCTGGAGGGCAGGAGTGGGACATCAGCTAGGCTGGCCCCCCACATTGCTTTCTATTTTTGGGTTCCAGGACAAGTGGGAGAAAAAGGCTTGCGAGGATAAGTCCTTTGACATCTTCTGCGATGTGGGCCATATGGCACTGGACACGCTCATGAAGTGCACCTTTGGCAAAGGAAATAGTGGCTTGGGCCACAGGTCAGGGGGCACCTTAGGGCTAATCATACCTTCTGCTGAAGGTAGGAGCTACCTAAGAGGAGAGAGCTGGCAGGGTTCCTGGAGCCCTGGTCTGAGAGGAGCTAGGGTCCTGTCTTAAGGGCCCCAGCTTGAGGGGAGCAGGGGACTTGCCCATGGTGGGGAGACACATTATGGCTTTATTGTGGGATTTAAAGACAAGGAGAAAGAGGGGAGAGAGGGCTGTGGTTGGGGCTGGATTCCTGGAATGGGAGCTGTTCTGGGCTTTCTTCTGGATCATTGTCTGAGCAACCCCTCCCTCCCTCCACGGTCCAGGGACAATACCTACTACCGGGCAGTCAGTGATCTTACCCTGTTGATGCAGCAGCGCCTTGAGTCCTTCCAGTACCACAATGACTTCATCTACTGGCTCACCCCCCATGGGCGCCGCTTCCTGAGGGCCTGCCAGGTGGCTCATGACCATACAGGTGGGTCTTTCCCCCAGAGTCCACCCTCAGGAAGCCTGAATTCTAGTGCAGCCTCTCCTTAGACCCTCTGGAATCCTGCCCACTTGCTGGGACTCAGCTTCCCCTTTGGGCAGAGGATGGGGTCCCTTGAAGTGACTACACTTCTGACCCAGACCAGGTCATCAGGGAGCGGAAAGCTGCACTACAGAATGAGAAAGAGCGGGAAAAGATCCAGAAAAAGAGACACCTTGACTTCTTGGACATTCTCCTTGGGGCCCTGGTAAGTGCACAGTTGCCCACCCCCACACATCTGAACTGGCCCCAGAGACCACTCTGGCACCCCTCATCCCCCAACCTCCTAAGGTAGGACTCTGTACAGGAGAGAGATTGTTAAGCATTTTCCACCTATTTTTCCAGCAAAAATGACTTGTTCATTGTCCTGTGACATACCAGCAAATTCTCAGAGGAGGGAAGGTACAGGGTGTAGCTGGGCCATGGTATCTGGGTGGTAGAGGCCCTGAAGACCAATTTTAAGTAGCAAAAGTGAGGGAACTCCTCAGTAAGATAGATGGATTAACACAATAGCCACCAAAATGAACTTGAACATACCAATTATCCTGAAAATGGCACAGGACCAGGTAACATTGCTCTCTGCTATACATGGGGTTGCCATGAGTTGGAGCCAACATTAAGACAACTAACAAGTAATAGAAGAAGAAGATCTTGGCACCCTAGAGTCTTAGAGTTCATTAATTCATTTCTTCACCCACTCCACAAACCCAGTGTACTCCTGCCCTCAGCTAGGCTCTGTGCTAGGGACACAGAAATGAGAAAGACTTGTCCTTGTCTTCCAGAAGCTTACAGACTAGTGGAGGAGATGAGGGGTGGAAATTGATAAAAATGTCTATCAGGTGGCATAGTGAGCAGAACTGTATAAAGTCATAGGTCCCTTGTCAGAGGGATCCAGGAAGCCTGCTACATGGAGTAGAGGCATCCAAGATGAGTTTCCACAAACAGATAGGTACATCCACTCTGAAAAGGAGCTTTTACTCTCTCCTTTGAGCTTTTATTTGACAACCTACTATTATGAGTTCTTTTTGCTTCCTGTCTCAAATTTCTTGAGTGGTCACACTATGTCTTCTTTAACCTAGGATGAAAATGGGAGCAAGCTGTCAGATGCAGATCTCCGGGCTGAGGTGGACACATTCATGTTTGAAGGACATGACACCACCACCAGTGGTATCTCTTGGTTTCTCTACTGCATGGCCCTGTACCCTGAGCACCAGAATCGCTGTAGGGAAGAGATCTGTGAGATCCTAGGTGACCGGGACACCATCCAGTGGTGAGTGAGACTGAGGGTGAGCCCAATCTTTCCTGCTTAGCTCCAGGGAGTCTGGTGCCATTCTGTCTTGTGTCATCCATGGACAACTCAGGATCATCCAAGAAACCAGGTGGGGCAGCAGTAGCTCTCCTGTCCTCTCCAGTGCTGTAGTTTGTTTTTCAAGGAGAGAGGAGGTGCAGATCCATCCCTAGCATGTTCTGGTAAAATGGAGCCTTTTCAGATGTAAGTAACTTAGAGTAGACTGCCAACAGGAAGCTGTTTGCTTATGTACTCACTCCCTCTGATGGCACAATAGCAGAACCTGACCATGATTCTGGTATTCTGGATAGAGCAGAGAAAGAGGTGGAAACTTGATAAACAGAGCTAGGGCTGTGAGGAATGCGGATCCCTGCTGACTTGCCTTTGGATGGCACTGTGCAGCCTCCCAGACTCTGGTCTCTTCCTTTGGTAAGGGAGAAAAGTCCTTTACCAAACACTTTTCCTTATAATCTTTTAGTCAGTGGTTCCTTCCTGTTTCTTAGCACACGCCTCAAGTGATTAACACATGATTGACCCTTGAGCATTCTTTTAGCTTGATCTTCCGGACCTTGGGGATCTCTCACAGGCTCCTCTCCCACCATTGCTCTCACTCTCTCACTCCTCACTCTCTCCTCTCCTCCCTTCAGGACTGGGCATCAGAAACACATGCCTGCTTTCTCCCTGGGCACCTGCACTACCTTCAGCAGGGGCTAGACATATAGCAACCTGCTCATTGCTGGAAGTCTACAGATTCACTTGAGGGAGGCTGAGCCTTAATTCCAAGATCTGCAATTGGGAGGACATAGACCCCATTGTCCATTTTTACTAGCTGGGTATTGGAAACCTCTCAGGATGTCCAGCCAGGTGCTGTTGGAGAAGTGGGTAGGGTGAAGAAGAGGAAGAACCAAGATGCTGCCCTTGCAGAGCATTTAGAGACAAATTCTAAAAGTGAGAGAGAGAAAACCATAGATGGAGTGGCATATCCAAGGGCAAGACTGAGTAGCTTGAACGTTGAGTGTAGAGGAGGCGTGAAACTCAGCTGGAGAGAAGAAGAGGAAACTGCGCACTCCAGGTAGAGTAATGAGGTGAGCAAAGCGTGGAGGCAGGGGTTTAAAATTATTTATTTATTTATTTAACTTTATTCCATCTAGAAATTAAAGCAGCTTATCCAGTTGCCTTAATGAGTCGACTACAAATCATGGCAACTCTATGAGTCCTAGAGTAGAACTGTGCTTCACTGGGTTTTCTACAGCCAGACCTTTCTTCTGAGGTACCTCTGGGTGAATTGGAACTTGTAAGCTTTTGGTTGGCAGCAAAGGGTGTTAACTCTTTGTGCTACCTATACCCTATACCCACTGAGTGAATTCTGACTCAGACATACCCTATAGGACACAGTAGAACTGCTCCATAGGATTTCCTTATAAATCTTTACAGAAGCAGTCTGCCAAATCTTTCTCCCATGGAGCAGCTGGTGAGTTCAAACTGCTCTTTTGGTTAGTAGCTGAATGTTTTAACCACTGTGACACCAGAGCTCCTTTGTGCTGTGTAGGGATTCCTAAAGCAGCTTTGAGGACACATATTCAATAAAATAGTAAGCTCACAAATGAAAAATCAGGATGGAGGACAAAAAGACTGAGTTTGGGCACTGTATAAGGTTTTACACAGGAGTTATAGTTGAACCTTCCATTTGGTTCTGAGCTTCCTGGTGGCCAAAGGAAAAAGGAAGCAATATTCTCTTTGAGCTCATCATTGTTCATGAATTTATTACTTCATTCAACAATATTTATATGCCCTTGCTTTGTGCCATTCCAGACTGGCAGGGAAACCAAGCAGGATCTAAAGAACTTTCCCATAGTGCCCTGGGAAACATGAGAGTGACTGACCTTGTCTTTAATGACTTACATTTGCCCTTCCTACATGATGGTGAAGATGAGGAGGGGGTGGAGGAAAGTGGAGCCAGAAACCCTGGGCCAGAGTGACCACCCAGTGTGTGGCCTGGCTTGGGCGTTTGGAGCTCTTGTGCCTTTCAGGGTGGTAAGGGGGAAGGTTGGGGCTGGAGACTGCCTTGCCCCTGGGCTCCTTGCCCCTGGACTCATGCCTAGAATGGCCTGGCTGTGTCTTTGACAGGGATGATCTGGGCAAGATGACCTACCTGACCATGTGCATCAAGGAGAGCTTCCGATTGTATCCACCTGTGCCCCAGGTGTACCGCCAGCTCAGCAAGCCTGTCACCTTTGTGGATGGTCGCTCTCTACCTGAAGGTGAGTTGTGGCAGATTTGAGTGAAGGTAGAGTCCACTGGGATGCCTTCTAATATCCTCAGTGTATTGGACCAAATCTTTACACCACATGGGAAAGAGCTCAGGCTTTATGGTCAGAGAGCCCTGTGTCCAGATTCCAACTCCACAACCTTTAGGCTATATGTAACTCTCTCATTTGTTAATTGGGGATAAGAAGAGGATTAAAGAGACAATGCTCATCAGAGCCATCACATTCGGGGCTCCTATGGCCATACAGGTTGTATCCTGAACAAGCATAGGAGGTGTCATACACTTAGACTATGATTCTGTGAAATGCATAACCTGTACAATTGCATACGATGGCTTCTTAAAGAGTGCCTGGCCCTGTACATGGCCTGTAGTTAGCACCCAAAGAAGGGAAGCTGTTATTATCAATATTATCATGTTATGAATAATCACTTCCCTGAATGTCCGTTAATTGAGAGTAAAATAAGTGTAATTGTCTCTCCTTATCCTACTTCTCGTAATTGTCTCTCCTTATCCTACTTCTCAGGGGCTCTGGTAGCACAGTGCCTAAAGCACTTGACTGCTAACCAGAAGGCTGGCGGTTCAAACCCACCAGCCACTCCTTGGAAGGAAGGTTGGGCAATCCTATTTCCGTAGTGATACTGCCTCGGAAACTCAAGGAGGGGTTGCTATGAGTCGGGGCTGACTCGACGGCACATAACAACAACAACAACAACATCCTACTTCTCAATGAGGTGGGCTCATTCCTCCCTGTTTTTCATTCCACAAATATCCATGTCTGGGTTTGTGGCCAGTACCAGGGCTATGGTACTACTCAGCTATAGTACTGAATGTGAGGATGACCAAAAACACTTTGACAAGTGTGGTGTGGCAGTGAGCTCTCTGTCACTGGCAGTGTGCAGGAAGGTGTTTGCGACCCATTGGAAGAGGTGGGCCTCACCACCTTAGGACCTCTGGTCATCAGGCTTTTGCTCTACCCACAGGTAGCTTGATCTCTCTGCACATCTATGCCCTCCATAGGAATGGCACTGTGTGGCCCGACCCTGAGGTATTCCACTCCTGGCCCTGGAGATAAGATGGTGGTGGGTGGTGGGGTATCTAGGTCACTCTCCTCCAGGATCTGGCAGGTGTTTAAGCAAGGCCCTGTCTACCTAGGTCTTCGACCCCCTGCGTTTTTCTCCTGAGAATGTGGCTGGACGCCATCCCTTCGCCTTCATGCCCTTCTCTGCGGGGCCCAGGTAGGGATAGGCCCAGCATGTCCTAGCCCTTAGGATTGTGGAGGGGAAAGTAGATGGCTGTGTAGGGGCATTATTTGGGGCTCTCTGTGAATAAGGAAGGGAGTGGAGTGATCCTAATACAGGAGAGAGCTCCAGGGATCTTCTTCATTGCATTATCATTTCTTGTCTTTGTCTTGGGAGGTGAGTGGATGGGCAAGTTGTTGTGGGTGAGACTCCCAAGCCAGACCACCCAATGTGAATCTCCTCAGTCTGGGACCCTTAGCACATTCCTAGGATCTGTTTCTTAAGCCAAGATCAATCAATCAGCTAAATATTCATACAAAACTAGTTTTTGATTTTGCTTGGCCACTAAGAGCACTTGTTTCATCAGATCTGCTGCCCATTTTTGAGGGCGGTCCTGGCTTTCTCTGGACACCCCAGAGCCCGAGGGCATTTTTTGTGTTCACTACAGGAACTGCATTGGACAGCAGTTTGCTATGAATGAGATGAAGGTGGTCACAGCCCTCTGCTTGCTGCGCTTTGAATTCTCCCTGGACCCTTTGCGGCCACCAATCAAATTGCTCCAGCTGATCCTGCGCTCCAAGAATGGCATTCACCTCCACCTGAAGCCACTGGGCCCAGGGTCTAGGATGCAGTCTCACCAGAAGTAGGATCTGCAGTCAACCCAAGCTGGGGTTATCCCTGGGCACTGACCTCCCTAGACTAGACTACTAGTCTCTGTGGTTCCCTGCCCTGGGGAGGCTTGTAAGTTAGAAGGAGAGTGAGACCAACATAGAAATTCAACTAGAGAACAGTGCCATGTGTGCCTATAAAGAAGACACACATGCCACTCACGCATTCAACAAGCACTAAGTGAGCGCTTACCTTTTAAATTTTCATTTATTCCCTGTAACTGGCAATATTTTTTACAGTGTAGCTCACTCTTACATCCAGTCTTAGTAAACACAAGTAAATACAATAGAAGCTTTGCCTTGGGGCTCATGGTGATGAGCAGACACACCACTCACCTTATAGCACATGATAGAGGGATGGCTTCAGGGCCTTTTCCCTTCTCTGACATGTTTTCTTTTTTTTGTTGTTGCATATATTTAAAATAGAAAAGACATGTAGAAAGTACATAAAACAACAATGAGACAGCAATTACATAATTCTAAACAATATTGTATTGTATTGAGCACTAGTAATATTAAACACATTCCATTGTAACCACCACTAGGGTTAAGTAGTAAAGACCATGGTTTCACCTGTTTGCTGTCTGCCTCTCTGAGATGGATCTCTGTAGCCCTCCTTGCTGTTGCCATTGTCTATGTTTCCCAGTCATGGATGTTCTGGGCATTCTGGGTTGACTGCAGGAAGATGGCAGAGTGCCATTGGGGGAGCAGGGTTTCTGATTAGAGATAATACTTGAATTGATCCTTGATGCATGGGTGGGGTTCGAAAGAGGGAGGAGAACTTTGGTGAAGGTGTCAAGGTGGAACTACAGGACAGATTAGAGATCCTTCTCAGCAGTCCTGCAGTAGTGCCAATGGCTAAGGGCACACACATTTCTAGGGTTCAAGTTCTCAAGCCACTAGTGGGCTTCAATCCAGGATCCAAACAGGCGAGGAAGAGAGGGGAGTGGAGACTGTGGGGTGCAGGTGGGAGGAAATTGGAGAGGGAAATTCCTAGCCTGGGACTCAGTGATGTCTCTCTGCTGCCCTGGGAATGTGCCATCTGGACACCCCTCTCCTGCCCCTGATGGATCCCCTCTTAGAAGAAGACCACCTATTCATTCCTGAAAAGCTCTCCAAAGACCCAGACCTCCCACCAGCTCCAGGAAGGTGTGCCTCCCAGCAATCTGTTCTACACCCATCCTTACAACTTCCCCCTCTGTGTCTTGGCACCTGGATAGACCTTTTCTGCACAAATGAAGAGGCACCTGAGCCTAAAACACATCTACTTCCTGTATGTTTTTAGATGCCAGGAGGCCTGATAGCAAGACAGGTGTAGGACATGCTCCCACTTCAGTATCAATGTAGATCGCCCAATCTTCCTTCCAAGGAGTGGCTGGTGGGTTTGAAACACCAGCTTTCTGGTTAGCAGTCAAATGCCTTAGGCACTACACCATCAGAGCTTCTCGGGTTGGGAAGGGAAAAAACAGAGGGTTGTATGAATGGCATATGTGTAGAAAGGTGAGATTCAAGTGTGATAGAAGGGGTAACAGTCATATGGAGATAATGGTCCCTCACGGTGACTATGCACTTAAGATGTCAAATCCTCAGAAACTGTGACTATGCTATATGATAAAATAGGGCTTTGCAGGTGTCATTACATCAAGGATCTTGATATAGGGAGATTATCCTGGATTTTATGAGTGAGAATAAGTTGTCACAGAGGTCTTTTTATTTTTAAGTTGTGATTTGGGTGAACGTTTACAGAGCAAATTAGTTTTCCATTCAACAGTTCATACACATTTTGTTTCATGACACTGATTGCAATCCCATAATGTAACAGCTCTCTTCCTACTTCCTTCCTGTAGTTACCTTTTCCCTGTCCTTATTTCCTCTGCATTCCTGCCCTCTGAGCTATCTCCCTGTAGAAAATCTACCCTTCTTATCTCCCATTGTTGATTGTTCCAAAGAGTGTACCTACCTGGTGTAAATGATCACTTTGAAGGCTTATTGTTTGGATGGAAGCCACTGGAGTGAGTTCAATTCCAGGCCTGAAGGGTGACTAGGGGTCATTGTCTCAGAGGTTTCACCAGTCTCTATCAGACCAGTGAACTGGTTTTGTTTAAATTTATTTTATTTTATGATTTTGAGTTCTGTTCCACTTTTTCTTTCACTCTATTGAGGATCTCCTTTTCTGATCCCTTCTGAATGGTTGGCAGTGGTAGCGGACACCATCTCATTCTGGTCTCAGGGTCATTCATATAGGCTGAGGGTTTGCATGGTCCACTAGTCCCTTGGACTAAGTGTTTCCATGTGTCTTTGATTTTCTTCATTCTTCTTTGCTCCGGATAAGGAGAGACCAATTATTGCATCTTAGATAGTCGCTCACAAGCTTTTAAGACTCCAGTCATTACTCATGAAAGTAGGATGTAAAACAATGTTTTTATGTACTCAAAAAACAAAACAAAACAAAAAACAAACTCACTGTCATTGAGTCAGATTCAACTCATAGCGACACCTCCTTGGGTTTCTGAGGTGGTATCTCTATGGAAGTAGATTGCTCAATCTTCCTTCC